CCTGCACACAGTGTATTATAACTGCAGCTATAAGGTTATGATGTAAGGAGGTCCCCTGTCTCCCTGCACACAGTGTTTTATAACTGCAGCTATAAGGTTATGGTGTAAGGAGGTCCCATGTCTCCCTGCACACAGTGTATTATAACTGCAGCTATAAGGTTATGGTGTAAGGAGGTCCCTTGTCTCCCTGCACACAGTGTATTATAACTGCAGCTATAAGGGTTATGGTGTAAGGAAGTCCCCTGTCTCTCTGCACACAGTGTATTATAACTGCAGCTATAAGGTTATGGTGTAAGGAGGTCCCCTGTCTCCCCACACAGTGTATTATACCTGCAGCTATAAGGTTATGGTGTAAGGAGGTCCCCTGTCTCCCCACACACAGTGTATTATAACTGCAGCTATAAGGTTATGGTGTAAGGAGGTCCCCTGTCTCCCTGCACACAGTGTATTATAACTGCAGCTATAAGGTTATGGTGTAAGGAGGTCCCCTGTCTCCCCACACAGTGTATTATACCTGCAGCTATAAGGTTATGGTGTAAGGAGGTCCCCTGTCTCCCCACACACAGTGTATTATACCTCCAGCTATAAGGTTATGGTGTAAGGAGGTCCCCTGTCTCCCTGCACATAGTGTAGTATAACTGCAGCTATAAGGTTATGGTGTAAGGAGGTCCCATGTCTTCCTGCACACAGTGTTTTATAACTGCAGCTATAAGGTTATGGTGTAAGGAGGTCCCCTGTCTCCCTGCACACAGTGTATTATAACTGCAGCTATAAGGTTATGGTGTAAGGAGGTCCCTTGTCTCCCTGCACACAGTGTATTATAACTGCAGCTATAAGGGTTATGGTATAAGGAAGTCCCCTGTCTCTCTACACACAGTGTATTATAACTGCAGCTATAAGGTTATGGTGTAAGGAGGTCCCCTGTCTCCCCACACAGTGTATTATAATTGCAGCTATAAGGTTATGGTGTAAGGAGGTCCCCTGTCTCCCCGCACAGTGTATTATAACTGCAGCTATAAGGTTATGGTGTAAGGAGGTCCCCTGTCTCCCTGCACACACTGTGTTATAACTGCAGCTATAAGGTTATGGTGTAAGGAGGTCACCTGTCTCCCCGCACACAGTGTTTGTGTGTGTACACAAAGAGACAGAATAGGGACAGACAGACAGGGAGACAGACATACAGATAGATAGATAGATAGATAATTCAGGTGATAAATTAAAGAATCATACATTTGACGAATTTATTACATACAGAAATACGTATTCCATTTAAACCAACTTTAATGCTTATTATTATTATTATTATTATTATCATTTATATAGCACCAACAGATTCCTTATGAAGATATAAGCCTGTTCCATTTTTATTATATTACTGAAAAGTAATCTGCTATTCTGTCTAAAATGTACTATTTAGCCAGGTATACAACATATCCGCAGAGCACACAAAGAAAAGCTTACACAAACATACAGAGTAATAAAAAAATGGAAATAGACGATAAGTCCTCCAAATCCTGTCTGCCGTGTCCCGTTTTATTCCGCTCCATTGACCCCCGACGCAGAAATCCTATTTGGCACGAGGGATCTCGAGGTGCAATGGAGCAGAAAGAATAAGTCGAAATCTCTGTGCAGCCAATGAGGGCGCAGTTTGCAGTTTGTGAGAGTGTATCAGGATGATATCATTGGGCTGGCTAGCTCTGCTGCCTGGCAGGTTACTCGCTCATTACCTCCAGCGCCGGGCTGCCCCCCATGATTGGATTATTAATCGTGTATCTTTTTAATCTTTCCAATGGCTTTAATGGGCTGTCTGGCAACTCCTCACAGCTGTCAGCCCTCATGTCTCTGAGCCATCTCAGATGTTAAGAGGCAGCTAGCAGAAAGATGGCATGCCTTCGTGAGCGCTGATCTTAGGCACCCAGATTGCCCAACTGGCCGTAATAAACTAGGTGCACCGTGTCTGGATTTAGCCAAACTCACTCTGCTGTAAAGATGAAGAAACGCTTTATGTAATAAAGTGTTACCATATTTGAGCAACAGGTGCAATGAAGTGTGAGCTCTGTCCCACTCCCCTCTGGCAAGAAAGGCCCCCGCATGCCGTGCTAGTAAGAGACCCCTGCGGTCAGACTAGCTACACATTAATCACTGCAGTGCACCCTCACAGAATACACTGACATTATACACACACAGTCAAATGCAGACACGAATATACAATGACAAAGCATTACAAACAACAACACAAGCAACAACATACCCTACAGACCACACAGCGGTATAATTCACTGATTGTAAGAAAGCATAAAGTATCTTATACAGTGACAATGCTGACGAAGACAAGGAAATTGCATTCAAAGCATGCAGACAATACACACAAAGATTGGAGAGTTTGCGTTTTACCTGAAGCAGTAAGATAGGTTGTTAAGTGGTTTTCCTTGCTATGGCAGTTGAGCTTACACTTCAATAGCTATTCCAGGGGTAATAAAAACCCCTTTAGACTGTAAGCTCTCTTGAGCAGGGCCCTCTTAATTTACTGTTACCGTATTTCGTACGTGTCTTGTTAGAAATAAATGTTTGTCTTGTTTACTATTTTACAGTGCTTACATAACTAATGCTATAGCCATTGCTGCCACCCACTTGTAGGGGCAGTTTTAGTGCTGAGCTTCATATTATGTGTTTTTATATAAACATACAGTACATGCAGACACATACACTAACAATTTGCGCTAAATAACTTTACTTTTGCTTATTATTTTCTATATTTTTTCCATTGTGTGGCTGTGACTGGTTTATACTTATCCAGCCCTGTGAATTGTTAATTTTATATATTAATGCACCTACAGGTTCTCCCAGTAAGGATACTCTTACTGGGACGTCTTGGACATCGAGGTCGTCATGCTGCAGACATATTATGTCACACTCTGTGTCTTTCAAAGAATATTTCATAGCATATGGTCTGACTGTTGAACTGGCATTTAACCTGTGATTGGTGTCTCGGATTCTAGAATCTTCTAAATACTGTAGGTGACTGCCATCAGACATGGGGAGCAGTGGACTGTAGTAGGAGTTGTCTTCCTGCCTCATCACACATGGCCTCCTGAGTGGTGAATGGTGAAGTTTTACGATGGTGTGGCACTGCCCCTCCTTACTACCCATTTAATGCAAAATAAGGGGGATGTAGCAGCACTAAACAACTGACTAAATGGAAGTATGGGAGGCAGAACTCCTGAAATTAGGGGTATTCCTCTAACCCTTAAATAACTGAGAAGACAGAACAAGAAATACAGGTCAAAACAGAGATATTCAATATAAAATAAATTACTACTAACCCTTTAAAAATGGTAATATAAAAATAGACCACATAAAAATAAAGAGTAAAACGTCCAATAAAAAACCAGAGGGTATATAACAGTCCTAAAATGGCAACTATTCTTCAAACCTTCCTATGAAGTCCTTGAAACAGCTCCACCCAGTAGCAGCATATGTAAAAAAACAGAGAACAGGAAGAACCAATAGTGCAATACGGCATATAAGGAGAGCAAAAATACGGCAAATAAGGTGTAATAATACAGACAACACTGAGGTTTAAAAATGGCAACTCACATATAGTAGAGCTATAACCAGCTCTAAGTAAAGCAGCTTGTAGTGGTATACAATGTCCACTTGCAGGATTTCCCTCTGATGCTTCATGGCTGGGTCGTGGTGGCGTAGATCATAATAAATAGAGAAAGGAAGCCAATAGTGCTCTCCATCCAGGTAAGTATAAATAGTAATAAGAAATGTACTTACAATTTCAAGAGCAGACTAACCGCTCCATGTGCTAGGCGTGGGTGGAATAATCCCCACCTAGGATTCTTAGCCAGGTTAAAAAACAAAAATAAAATACTAAAAAGCATTTGGCTCACAACAAATGTAAAGTAGCCAAATAATACTTTATTGAACAATAAATAATAAAACCACAATGCGTTTTACCCATTTAATCCCATAAGACACCATTCCCTGTTCAAAACCAGCTGCATATTTAGTCATCAAGAGAAGGGAGACTGATACATGTTTTTTCTAACACTGGTTGACAGGCTGGGTGACAACAGCCACAGCCTAACATGCAAAGCAATACTGACAAACATGGGGCTTCCTTCACTCTCCCAAAAATTGTAGTGGAAATGGCACGAGAACAAAATATTATAGGCCAAATTAGTCTCCCTTTTAAAAGTAATCAACTCAGCTATTCTTCTAGCTGGGCTATTTGTGGCCAAAGATTTGCGATTCGATTTTCAATTAAAAAATAAATAATTAAAACTCATAATTTTATCCAAATAAAGACAGCCCATACATGTGCAGCAAGGTAAATAATCAAAAAAAAAGATTAGGTGTACACTCAGTATAGGAAATTAATGATAAAAACCACCACTGGTGTGCATATGGAGCGCTTACAAATTTGTTGACTCACCCATATGGGTTAACATACATATGTATGGAAAACGTGACTCATAGCGATATATCTGAAACAAATGTAAATGCAAGAAATAGTGCAGATAACGTTTTCAATAAGTGCAGTGAGGGAATATTCTATATGGTCTCACTCACATGTAGCAGAGCCCTATAGGATAGGCTCAGATCTCAATGGCCTGCGTGTGCTTATGGTGACACAGTACCCAATCGGTCCTCTAGGCGTCTGGAGATCCTTATGCATACATGAGAGAGAGAGAGAGAGAGAGAACAAGGGGAAGAGGAGAACCCCTAGTGCGGTCAATCCCAATGTACAATGTCAAATAGTGCAGAAAAAATGGCTTCTCACCTGATGTGGAGCCCTATACCTGGCTCCTGGTGTGTAGGTGTCTGTGCCTTTAAGGGGGCAACTACCCTTCTTTAAGCAGCAACAATGGAGGGTGGATTCCAAATATAAAACAAAATTTATTAAATAAAGTAGTAAAAACTTACAAGTAAAATATAAACAAAATTGTGAGAAATTATAAAATGTGGAATCTTCAATCCTCCAGCCGAAACATGTTTCACTGTACCCAGACAGCTTTTTCAATCGGTAATATAGTTACGGTAATATAGTTACTATATTACCGATTGAAAAAGCTGTCTGGGTACAGTGAAACATGTTTCGGCTGGAGGATTGAAGATTCCACATTTTATAATTTCTCACAATTTTGTTTATATTTTACTTGTAAGTTTTTACTACTTTATTTAATAAATTTTGTTTTATATTTGGAATCCACCCTCCATTGTTGCTGCTTAAAGAAGGGTAGTTGCCCCCTTAAAGGCACAGACACTTACACACCAGGAGCCAGGTATAGGGCTCCACATCAGGTGAGAAGCCACTTTTTCTGCACTATTTGACATTGTACATTTGGATTGACCGCACTAGGGGTTCTCCTCTTCCCCTTGTTCTCTCTCTCTCTCTCATGTATGCATAAGGATCTCCAGACGCCTAGAGGACCGATTGGGTACTGTGTCACCATAAGCACACGCAGGCCATTGAGATCTGAGCCTATCCTATAGGGCTCTGCTACATGTGAGTGAGACCATATAGAATATTCCCTCACTGCACTTATTGAAAACGTTATCTGCACTATTTCTTGCATTTACATTTGTTTCAGATATATCGCTATGAGTCACGTTTTCCATACATATGTATGTTAACCCATATGGGTGAGTCAACAAATTTGTAAGCGCTCCATATGCACACCAGTGGGGGTTTTTATCATTAATTTCCTATACTGAGTGTACACCTAATCTTTTTTGTACTAATCTATAGGGTAGAGAGTCCCTATTTGTGTGGTAGCTGCTGTCATTTTACTCAATTATTAACTGAAAGCGCCTTGAAAACACACATTCTTATTAAGGTAAATAATCTGCCTGCACATAAAATATTTTTGGATAATATAATATTATGTTTTATTTTAAAAAAATAAATAAATAAATTGGTATCTTATCCAAATACATTAAATGGAGGCCCTAATTGTGTATTTTTGTAGATGTGACACTGGTTGTGAGATAAGGGATTGTGGGATGAGTCCCAAACCGCCACTGTCAAAACTGATACACCTGCTCTATTTTAATTAACATAGAAATTATGACAACACTCATCCATTGGTTGAATTAGCCGCTCTCTCTGATTAATGACTCTTTATGAATCTCGACTTTTGATGCCTTTTTTTTCTGCAGGAATCCTGAATTTCTGCTAAAAGAATAGTTCTGAAAGGCAACACCAGTTTGGCATCTTCATAAACCAGTATTAGTGAAATGTGCTAATCTCAACTCTTAATTTCTCAAAAAACACAGATAAACGTCTTTTTGTTACTTGAAGCCTGAGTGGTCATTGTGTTGGATGCTATTCTAACATTCGAAAGATAAATACATTTGTAGTTATTGAGTGATCATTTCTAAGTTAAAAGAAAGGCCCCTTTCCCCACTCGCCCCACAGCATTGTGTTAATAATCTGGACCTTAAATACTTTATACATGACCTGACTTCCCCCTGATGCAGTATCTCAGTGATGTGTCTGGAAGATGAATCATATCAGCCTGCTTCTTTCTTTTCAATAGTTCTTGAAAAATGATGGCAGAATGGTTTCTGTCTGTTTAATAATATAAGGCACGTCTCACCTTTTTAATTGTATATTTTTGGAATCTTGTTCCTTCTATTTAAAAATCAGAATGGATAGGATCATTCTACCCTGGGCATGAGACCAATATAGAAAGTTACATTACTTGGCTGAACATGCATTTAGGGGCAGAAAAATAGGTCAAGGGATGAAACATGAAAATTTCTCAGTCTAATTAAAGGGACACTACCGGCACCCAGAGTAATTAATCTCATTGAAGTGGTCTGGGTGCAGTTTCCAGGTCCCTTTAACCCTGCAAAGTAAAACATGTTTCAGAGAAACTGCAAAGTTTACATTAAAGAGTTAAGACTGCCTCTACTGACTATCTACCAGACAGCTACTAGAGGTGCTTCCTGCATTTACACAGAGTTTGACTCCATGAAACAACGCTGAAAATCCTTACGCTTTGCATGAGGACCTCCAGCGTGTTGATACACCCTATAGGAAAGCCTATTACACCACGCATGCGCATTTGTTTTCCCCTAACTGCTGGCTTTGGAAAGAGGTAAGTGTTTAAAGTATTGTTTAATCCTTTAAATATTATAATTTGTTTTTATCAAACTCCAGCTCTATGTTTATGGTATTACCAAAATGTGTCCAGATTCCATTTCTTTGCTAACATCAAAGAGAGACCTCAGTCTCTTAGCCTCAAACTCAAAAACGAGAAGAGACAATCTTGATAAGCCAGCAATACCTAAAAGAAACTATAGTTTTAGGAATATTAATGAATATTGCAAATGCTTTAGGTACTGGGGGCCGTTTAGTTACACAGCCCTCACCTGCAGAAAAAAAAAAAAAAAAGTAATTTTACTTACCGTTTCTTTCTCAAAGGGCCAGTTTCCACGGGAAGTTCTGCCATCTTGGCTGAGATTATCAAAATCGATGATCTCAGCCAATCCAATGCTTTCCCATAGAAAAGAACTGGTAGGCCAGTGTGCATGCATAGAAATCGCCACACTGAGCCAATTAGATGGTCTCTCAGAGTTTTACTCTATTTCTTTGGAATAGCCTCTAATGACTGTCTTAGTGAGAGCCACTAGAGGCATTAAACCTTGCAATGAAAACAATGCTCTGCTGCAGAATGGCAATGTTTTCATCTGCAGAGCCAAAGGGGCGGGCAGAGCACCCAGACTACTTTATTGATATTGAGGCTAAGAAATAGACTACACAGAAACAAAAACGTGAATGGCTCAAGTCATTGTTCCACTTCAAGACTACTGGGTTCTAATTGAGTTCTGCTGTGTTCTAGGTCCAGCTCCTGGGTTCCTGTTAAGTCCTGCTGTGTTCTAGGTCCAGCTCCTGGGTTCCTGTTAAGTCCTGCTGTGTTCTAGGTCCAGCTCCTGGGTTCCTGTTAAGTCCTGCTGTGTTCTAGGTCCAGCTCCTGGGTTTCTGTTAAGTCCTGCTGTGTTCTAGGTCCAGCTCCTGGGTTTCTGTTAAGTCCTGCTGTGTTCTAGGTCCAGCTCCTGGGTTCCTGTTAAGTCCTGCTGTGTTCTAGGTCCAGCTCCTGGGTTCCTGTTAAGTCCTGCTGTGTTCTAGGTCCAGCTCCTGGGTTTCTGTTAAGTCCTGCTGTGTTCTAGGTCCAGCTCCTGGGTTCCTGTTAAGTCCTGCTGTGTTCTAGGTCCAGCTCCTGGGTTCCTGTTAAGTTCTGCTGTGTTCTAGGTCCAGCTCCTGGGTTCCTGTTAAGTCCTGCTGTGTTCTAGGTCCAGCTCCTGGGTTCCTGTTAAGTCCTGCTGTGTTCTAGGTCCAGCTCCTGGGTTCCTGTTAAGTCCTGCTGTGTTCTAGGTCCAGCTCCTGGGTTCCTGTTAAGTCCTGCTGTGTTCTGGGTCCAGCTCCTGGGTTCCAGTAAGTCCTGCTGTGTTCTAGGGTCCTCCTGTTAAGTCCTGCTGTGTTCTAGGTCCAGCTCCTGGGTTTCTGTTAAGTCTGCTGTGTTCTATGTCCAGGCTGCTGGGTTCCTGTTAAGTCCTGCTGTGTTCTAGGTCCAGCTCCTGGGTTCCTGTTAAGTCCTGCTGTGTTCTAGGTCCAGCTCCTGGGTTCCTGTGTTAGAGTCCTGCTTTTGTGTTCTAGGTCAGCTCTGGAGTTCCTGTTAAGTCCTGCTGTGTTCTAGGTCCAGCTCCTGGGTTCCTGTTAAGTCCTGCTGTGTTCTAGGTCCAGCTCCTGGGTTTCTGTTAAGTCCTGCTGTGTTCTAGGTCCAGCTCCTGGGTTTCTGTTAAGTCCTGCTGTGTTCTAGGTCCAGCTCCTGGGTTCCTGTTAAGTCCTGCTGTGTTCTAGGTCCAGCTCCTGGGTTCCTGTTAAGTCCTGCTGTGTTCTAGGTCCAGCTCCTGGGTTCCTGTTAAGTCCTGCTGTGTTCTAGGTCCAGCTCCTGGGTTTCTGTTAAGTCCTGCTGTGTTCTAGGTCCAGCTCCTGGGTTTCTGTTAAGTCCTGCTGTGTTCTATGTCAGGCTGCTGGGTTCCTGTTAAGTCCTGCTGTGTTCTAGGTCCAGCTCCTGGGTTCCTGTTAAGTCCTGCTGTGTTCTAGGTCCAGCTCCTGGGTTTCTGTTAAGTCCTGCTGTGTTCTAGGTCCAGCTCCTGGGTTCCTGTTAAGTCCTGCTGTGTTCTAGGTCCAGCTCCTGGGTTCCTGTTAAGTCCTGCTGTGTTCTAGGTCCAGCTCCTGGGTTCCTGTTAAGTCCTGCTGTGTTCTAGGTCCAGCTCCTGGGTTCCTGTTAAGTCCTGCTGTGTTCTAGGTCCAGCTCCTGGGTTCCTGTTAAGTCCTGCTGTGTTCTAGGTCCAGCTCCTGGGTTTCTGTTAAGTCCTGCTGTGTTCTAGGTCCAGCTCCTGGGTTCCTGTTAAGTCCTGCTGTGTTCTAGGTCAGGCTGCTGGGTTCCTGTTCGGTCCAGGGTTGCGTATCGCTCATTTTGGCTTGGGTTGTCTTTCCGGCAAACTCCGATTTTGGCTTGAGTTGCCGGTCTCTCAATACATCATATTTAGCTTGGGTTACCTGTGCCTGACAACAAACCAAACACACTTTTTTGTGGTCCTTTCAGAGTCGCCTTCCCATCATTTAGCTGTTGACTTCCCCATTAAATTGTTGGTGGCATTTGGATGCTTAGTGCTGCTATGTACAAAGCAGCTGCAGCTATTTTTGTTGTCAGGGAAAAGAATCCAATTCTATTTTAAAGGTGCTAAGCCTTTAATATAATAAATGGAATGAACTGCTTCAATGTCAGGGGGTGAGGCGATTAATTGAACTTAACGAGTGACGGGGTGAGATACGGCTTGGGTGCGGTATTTTAAGTTACGTTTTATCTGAAATCAGCAGCAAACTGGATTTGGATGTTAAACCTTGATGGTTTTTCCCCACACAGCCTGTGCATAGACGTCGTTCAATATTCATTTAAATGGAAACATAGTAACATTAACTCACTAAGCTTCTTTAAAGCAGAACATTGCAGTGTTTCATATTTGTGCTCCAAGTTTGAGTGAAAGTGATACTTAGTACCCTGGTGGATAACTTACTTATCGTTG